AAATGCAATTTGGACTGTCAGAAATTGTTACCATAATCCATTAAATGTCATGTTTTCAAATTACTATCTTTCTATTAATATTAGACTACTGACCATCTGCAGTTTAAACCTATTTTTGGTTTGTACTCGTGCTGCTGAAGGAGAGAGAGAGAGGATTACTTTAGGGGCCCTCCTGATCCTCCAGACAGATAGTCGATCAATGATCTTATTTTTGACTCAAGGTCAATAATTATGACCGACCTTGAGCCGAATACATTTAAAGTAGTTTGAAAGAATTCAGAATTTAAATTTAAAATGCATGCAAGATATTTACTTTTGTATTATAACAAAAATGTATTATACATACATATTTAATGTGCTTTCATTATTGCATTCATAAAAACAAAAAGGCTTAGTTTTTTTTATATCGTTTTCCCCTTTTATTTACATTCGTTTTTTTTTTTTTTTTTGCTCCCTCAGAGGTTTAATATTTTATGCAGTATTTTCTGCTTCATGCTGCACAATACAGAAAAAATCTTTCATTTTGTGTCACATATTCTTAAATATTGGGTCCACAGGATAATGCATGTTTTCCTCAGCATGTTGGATGCCTCATGTACTGAATTACATTCATAAAAACTTTTCGAAAGAGGCCTTCTTTGTGCCTGCCTGCTCTGTGGCTGATAGTACAAGACAGACAAAGGACTTTTTCTCAGACACAGATTATGTCAAATCCAAAATTAAATTTCACTCAGTAGCAGTCTCTTCTTAGTCCAAGCCTTGGTTTAATCTGTGTGGGAAAACTGGCTCAAAAAGCATTTCTCATTTGAGCATCAACTTCAAATGGGAAGTCGTCACACACTTCTGGTTACTGCTAATACGTTATTTATTTAATATAATTTTAAATTCAATTAGAATTCTTTAAAATGCGGTAGTATTTTAGCTAATGTAAATTAATTGTAAAAGTTTGTTGACATTCACCGAGTTTGTGATTTTGTTAAAAAAAAACTGTACACATTTGAAACTTGTTAAAAAAATTGGAAAACTTTTACCTAAAAATATGATAAAAATCACAGTGATCAATTTAGAAATATTGTAAATGCTATCAAGTTCAAGTGCTTTAATCTCATAGAAAGGAAAAGAATAGTAAGCTTTCATTGCTAGCATCTTTCACTTTCTCCACTGTGATCCACCGAATACCATCCAGTTTGTGCTCTGAAGTGACTGATAAGTTGTTAGTGAGTTTGTCAGTGACACAGTTGTGAACTTATGACCAAGTCTTTCTCACATGTTAATAATTCAGTCTCTCATGGTCCATGTTAAAATGTAAGAAAGGATGTGATATGCTCTGTCATGAGACCTTCTATAATAAGGTCTGGTACGAGGAACAGATGGACTTCATTTGAGAGACAGAACTGGACCTAATGAGTGTAATGACAAGCCAAGTGCTTCAGCAGAGCAAGCGTGACGTGAAACTAATGGAGGAGAAACGAAAGGACAGAGGTGGAACAGTGAGAACGATGGAAGGGGTGAGCATGACAGAAAGACATAAATCATGGTTGCAAAGCAAAGAGAGAGAATTACGAAAGAGAAAGAAACAGGGAAGAATGTGATAGAGACGAACAACATAGATGGAGAGGAGGGGAATAATTTGCTGATGGATGGATTATCAGCACATCCATTAAACAGTTGCCTGTTTCTCAGACGTCACATATTTTCTCCAAAGACTCCTTGTGCGCTTTTCCATCATGAAAGGCAATTACAAAACACCGTAGTGGAAAAAGAGGTTGATTTTCCACAGTGTTAACCTCCTTTTTTCTTGTCACTGCCGTTACCAGTTGCATAACAGCTGTAATGTACCGTACATACAGTAAGAGACAGTGACTTTGGGTTTTGTTGTATTTATTAGGCTATTTTGAAAAAATGCGATTAATTTAGAAGTTATTGTTGTTTATAGTTACATATAATTATATTTTTTTCTATTAGTCTTAGATGCATAATTACATTGTTAATGGATAAACATATAATATATATATATATATATATATATATATATATATACACAGTGGATACGGAAAGTATTGAGACCCCCTTAATTTTTTCACTCTTTGTTATATTGCAGCCATTTG